TAACTTAGCTAGTAAAAGTTAACCAATTTCGGCAGAGGAAAATCCTTTAAATGATTTTTGATCCTATTTATTTCATGATAATTGTTCTGCTGATAGATTTCCTAGTTTGATTCTTGATAACTGTTCATTGTGGTGTTTTATCGTTTATTCGGTTAAGTAGTCATCGCTCGACCATATTCAAGTCAGATGGTCGATTATAGTATATTTAATGAAGAAAAGTACTTTTGCCCTTCAAAATTTGGTTTTTGTTATCTTGATGACGGTTTTAGTGTTAAGTCGCCCAGTATAAGGTTAATATTTTAATTCTATTTTGCAAGGATATTGATGAAGATATATCACACTACTAACTAATTGAAAGTAGTGTGGTGTAACATTCCTCGTATATGCATAAACACAACCAGTATCTCGAATTACTTGGATCTATTTTGTCATTTATGGATAGTACGAAATTCCTTACAGCTTTAGGCTTAAATTCATTATTGTTGATAATATGAGCTTCTATTTAATAATTTGATGAACACTGGCTACAGTATGCGTCACTAAATAGAAAGAACACGTGAAACTGAACGTCTATAACTCTTGTTTGTGGAGTCACATATCCCCAAATCAACTATATAAGAATTTACGTTCAAATAAATTACAACCGAATATTTCAAATCTCATTCGACTGTCGAAATCTTATATAGATAAATAATTGACAAGATAAACTGATCAATTTAATTGAATTACACACTCAATCATTGCCTATATTAAATAAAATATCTGTAGTCTGCCATATTAAATTCATCATCTTTTGTAGTATGATCATTTTAAAAACAAAGGAAAGGATCGGTAAAAGCTCGAAAAATCTTGTATTATTACTAATCATGTTAATTTGTTTCCAGTTAATCATGATAAGTATATCACTAATTTATCTTCCGTTGTATTATCTGCTCATGAAAAGGAAGCACTATCTATTGGTTTTAATTTCTCGGTCCCTATAATGCAAATGCCAGAATTGGAAATAAATGCCCAATTTGAAAATCTATACGATCAACTAAATACGCTAACCTCTACGTCTTTAAATAATCAAAGCTGGTGTAAAGCTAAACTGGTGGATATAACACACCAATTTCATAGTGCTGGAGCAAAGCAAAGAAGTATATTAACTTCTCAGCGTTTTAAATTATTAAAAGAACTACGAACAAACCCTGATATTGTCTTGTTAAAACCTGATAAAAGATCAGGAGTAGTTATCATACATAAATGTGAATATAAAAGTAAGATGTTAGCCATCCTCAGTGATGAAAGTAAATTTATGCCTGATGTTGAATTTGGAGGTATTGTCAAACTAGAGGGAAGAGTAAATTCAGACCTGGAAAAATTGCTACACATGAATATTATTATTAAAGAAGAATTTAATTTTCTAAAACCTATGGGTACCGAGTACCCTCATTTATATGAACTGACTAAAATTAGCCAACCAAACATTCCTTTACATCCTTCTTTATCAATGTGCAGGTCACTTACACATAACCTGGCTAAATGCTTAACAAAATTATTGGACCCTATCTGAAGACGTCTGTGTAAGTATTCTCTAAAGGATTCTTTTGAATTGGTCAATCATTTACATTATATTAATATCAAAGAAAAGACAATGTGTTCATTCGATGTCAATTCCTTGTTCACAAATGTACCTTTGAAAAAAACTATAGATATATCATTGTGATTACATATCTTTAAACAATCTTAAATTATATGTCGCTTTAAAAATTCTTAAACATTTACTATTATTATGTACTGACAAAGTTCAGTTCACTTTTGAAGGTAAATACTTTCCTCAGATTGATGGGGGTGCTATGGCTAATCCGATAGGACCATTATTAGCAAATCTGTTCATGGCACATGTCGAAAACTTGGCTGATGACCTAATCGAGAACATGTCACCTTATAAGAGATTTGTAGATGATATCTTAGTTGTTTGTGAAAAAAATGAGGATATGTACTGCTTATTGAATAAATTTAACACTCTCCAAGACCATGTCAGTCTCTCATGTGAAGAGGAGAAGAACGACCAGCTTCCCTTCCTAGATATACTTCTGAGTAGACGAGAAGATGGTTCACTTAAACGATCTACTTCTAAAAAACCAACGTGGACAGGTTATTATTATTATAGTTATTGTCCTGTGCAATACAAGCGGTATTTGATAAGGTGCCTATTCAACAGGCTTGATAGTATTTGTACAAACGTTGCCATTGATGATGATGCTAAGTTATTAAATAAAACATTAATGGGAAATGGCTATCCTTTGAAATTCATAAATAGATGGAAAGTCCATGGCACAGTGAGACCTAGTGTAGTCTTGGTAGAGGAAAGCCTATCTACATCACCTTACTATTCAGAAGTAATTCAAATAGCCTTTTACTAAAACAAAGGCTTAAATCAGTCATCAACAAAACGTATTGCGCAGCAAAGGTCATTATCGAAGAAAGAACAAGGTGCATGCTTCATGCAAAACCTAAAAGACATGAAAACGATTGTGTCACATCCCACTGTGTTTACCAATTTAAATATGTGTGTGGTCACACATACCTAGGGAGGAGCATTCGTGATCTCAAAATTAGAGTGTGTGAACATGTACCGAAATGGCTGCAGAAACAGATACAATCAAGTGACCCAATAAGAGCAGAGGATAAACATTCACCATCCTCTATTGCTAAACATATAATAGAAACAGGCTATAAGATTAATCTAAACTCGGCTTTTGTGGTGTTGTATAAAGGTGTAAAAGGGCGTATACTATGGTTTATTGAAGCTTTAGCTAGACGAACATTCAAACCTCTTTTGTGTATTCAAAAACAGTTTGTTCTCACCTTAAACTTACACTGGTAATATTATCCACAGTGATTAGGTTTCAAATTATGTTCACTCTTGTTATTATTATCCATGTCTCCTCTTACTCCATTTCCAGTCTAGTTGACCTTTTATTTTAAATATAAATGTTCTTAACAGGTATATTGTGTGTGATCAGACTGTTCGAAATGTATTGTGCTAATATATCACATAGTTCTGATAATCATAATCTTATTATTACACTATCGAAATTTATCAAAGGGACTAACTGCTTTAGAGAGAATATTGATTGGACGTGATGTATCGTATTCACAAAAATTACGATTGAACTTACTTACAAGTTAGTCGTCGTAGTTCAAACATTGATTATCGAAAAGGTCAACGTGTTAAGTATTTGTGAATGAACGTTTAAGAACGAATTTAGAGAATTTAGTTGCATATCTTCTGAATTTATTTCCTATCAAACATTATGTTGCCAGGGTATTCAAGGCTTTTATTCAAGCAGATTAGGAATGGTGATCAGCTAAGTTTTTTTTGTACTGCAGTCATTTAATTAGATAACATGCATTTAAGTACTTAATGTCCAAACCATGAATATGCAAAGTGTGGTTTATTTCATAGAAGACAACTGAAATTGTTAGAGATATAGTTTTGATCATTATGAGTATTTTGTCTGGATTTCCGCCAACAGAGAAAATTATTATTTAGAAATCTATGGTAATTAAAGTGGTTGAAAAAAAAACTTTTTTATTTCACATTTTGTTAACATTTGGTCGAATCGTACCGGCGTACACAAAGTACATAAATTATATGGGAATGACTTCATTTACATTTTTCCATGTTTAATCATTCATCTGGTTATGCGTACATGACTCTGTTAACTATAATATTAAATAATGTTTTCAATTATTTCAGAAAAAGTTCAATAAATAAGTTACCGCATTTTCTCCGTTGATCAATAAATTTTATCCTGTTAACATGACCGAAGGAGTGGGATTATATGACAGTAATGAATTTGCCATACTTGTATGTTGGTCACTGTCATACATAAATATTTTCGTATAAAAATATTTTCATCCTTACTCTAATATAACTCTTGGTTATTTCATAGAGAAGTTAGTCAGCTTTCAAACTTATATAATCCTACGTTATTATCGAAATATATTTGGCAGGATAATGAGATGTGATCGATTCATATAAAGACAGATCTATGTGCACTGTGAACAGTGTGCGTGAATAATTTAATTCTCATGAGCCTAGTTTTCTTTATGGTTTTGCATATTTCAAGTTTATTTGTTTTTTATCCTTCATCTTTTAATTAGATTGACCACATTTTAACAACTTCAATAAAACTATTTAAGGATTTTAATAACTTTATTATCAATATTTTTTTCTATAATTTCTAGCTGATACCTATTCCCACTAACTTATCAACTTGAAAAATTCACACTGTAATCTTTCACTTGGCCATTGAAGCCATGGTCTACAGTTTTTCATACTCTTCGGACCTTTAAGACAATCTCATGATTCATTTTTCAGTTTATTTTGTCCGTAAATTTTATTTATTTTTCCCGTCCAAACTGACAAAACAAGATTGTTGATCACATAATTATTTTATCTAAACACTAGTTTAGTACTTGCAAAAATGAAATCATCAAAGTGGACAGTTTCAATTTATTGTAAATCATGAATTTTGTTATAACATCGATTACATTATTTGGTTGATTGGTTAAATAAGTAAAAGATTGTCACTAGAATTAATGGGTAATGGCAGTAGCAATAGTGATGTTAATAAGGATGAGTCTTCTAACTAGACACCCTAACCGACTTCCTAGACGCTTTTAATAACTCTCAGCTAAATCTACAAAGCGACTTGAAAACAAGATATGAAGTGAGAATTGTGAAAAGAATTGTTTACTCCAAGGTTAGTTTATATGCAGAAAAACGAGGGTATTTATAATGTTTCAGGCAGCTTTGGTCTTTTGAAGGTTTCTGGAACCATACTAAATATAGTACTAGCATAGGTGAGTATTTTGTCAGAAACGTGACACGTGACCCTTCTTTTTTAGATGTTCCTGGAAAGCCTCATTCAACTCTGATTGGATCAAATGTTTCCCAATGTTTTCTAGACCTCTATGGACTTTTCTAGAGAATACTTTGGATCTCCTCAACAAGTAGTAGTAGTAGTAGTAGTAGTAGTAGTAGTAGTAGCAGTAGTAGTAGTAGTAGCAGTAGTAGTAGTAGTAGTAGTAGTAGTAGTAGTAGTAGTAGTAGTAGTAGTAGTAGTAGTAGTAATAGTAGCAGTAGTAGTAGTAGTAAGCAAGAGCATATACAAACTAAGAAGTTTGTCTAACTGGTACAAAACAAATTCTGATAAAGTTAATTTTTGGCCTATGTTGAATATATTTTCATGTTGGCTCAATGTATTACGCTGTCTGTATCATGATTACTTCCACCTGTCATTGTACTATACAGATAGATAGTCTGTTACATCACACATGTGATTATTAGCATTGGACTACTTGATTCGATTTGTTTCTCATATATTTTTGATGAGAGTTTGGGTTACGAAAGATGAAATATTACTAAAAACCCAACTAGAACTAAACGGCTATTTTACTTTAACTTGCAACTGCTTGATGACAAGTGTGTTGGGTGGCATACACATTTATTTAAGTAAACCTTTAAAGGAAATGAGCATTTATCCGTAGATTGGAAAATGTTTTTTCTTCCAAAATAGAATATACCAAATATATAACTGATTGCTGAATGTTATTTTATTCTTCCTCAGAATTGACTTTAAGGATATATGATATTATCATAATCTGTTATTAAAATATATTTAAAATCTAAGTAAAAAGCCGAAGGACGTGAACTAGATGAGGTTACTCTTCACAGTATAATCATATCTTTCTATACATTCCTGGTAGAAATAAGCTTCTGCAAATAAATATCGCGAAATAATTCTCTTAAAAGTTGAACATGTAATTGAAGGAACATAGAGGCTAGTAAAATATATGCAATATCTGTAATAGGGGTAAGAGTAAGCTCAAAGACAAATATACATTAGATATAATCTTCATTTTCAAACCATGCTAATACTTTTTGGAAAATAATTTGGTTGTTTTCAGTAATGAGGTGACAATTCAGCACTATATTTTGCTTATTTCTATTCCGGTTTACCTCATAAAATAACGTACATATTTTCAGAAATTATCATTTTTATTTTCAAAAGTGTGTGCTTGAAATCTGTATACACAAGTACACTAACGGTACGCAAATGAATATATCTATTAGAATCAGATTATGAAATTATAACACAATCATATAACTTTAAAAGACATAGACGTGATCATTTTTTGCTTCATTATAGTTCAAGCACTCTTTATTCAGTAAAATATTCAATACTCACAGTATTCACAGATAAATATTGTGAGATCAGGTATATTTTCCGTACCAGCTTTGATTTATTATAATGACACAACAATGATAGCACACACTGATTAATTTGACTAGATGATAATGAATAAAATATAAGAGTACTAAAACTGAAGTCGCTTTGAGAACTAAATTATTTATATAATCGGTAAAGAAAGTCGTGACATTTTTAAAATATGTAAATTCTTATTTATGTAGTATTATTAACTACATGTTTGTCCTCCAATGCAAAATTCACAGCATACATCATTTAATAGTTAAAGTTTATGGACAGTATAGAAATATATATGGCTTTTAAATAATATCTATAGGTGATTCTCTTTATGAACTTATTAATCGTGATTAGGAATGATAGGATTAGCAGCTATATTACGATGGCATCAGATATGCATTCTAACCCCCTAGTTGTATTCCGAATAGCCACAAGGTACAATGTCAACTAGGAAAATATTTAAGGAATTTATAGAATTTCCGTGAACTTTTGTAAATCTTATTATACTACTCATTAGTAGCATAAAAAGAAAAAAGCAATTAATTGCGGGAAATGACAAATTTTAACATTAACCTAAGTTACGTATATTCAGTGGATTCAGATGATAAATTATTTTATCCTTCCCCTCAGTTTTAAGATGGAAAACAACTTGAAAGTAACATTTTGCATGAGTTTTATTTTATTTTCCTGATAGCCGAAAATGAATTAAAACATATTAGTGAGTTTACGAACCGAACTAATTTAGACAAACATTGAAAACAAGGAATCACTTTATAGATATTTCCTCATAGTGTGGCTAACCTCATTTATGTTCATTCACGACCCCAACATGAATTGAAACCACGGCCCTCAGGTCTCACGGTGAGAGCTTGGCTTATGAATTAGTAAATCGACATTTAATGGTTACTTGTCTAACAAAGTAAGTAATTAGGATGTAGAGGAATGTATGACCTTAATGTGTATTAAAAAGATGCAATCCATTTAATATATAGTACTTGAGTAGAACAGATAGTTATTTGAGTATTGCATAAAATTTCTGTTCATGATTTATGTAGACCACTAGATACAAAATAATTCTATTCTAATATAACCAATCCTAATATTATCGAGTAGGAAATACAAAATACATTATTAGTTTAGGGGTTGTGGAGATTGTTAAGTTTTTGTTTGAGATCACGAACCCCTCGAGTGAGGTCGTGGATGCGCACTGCTGAGGAGTCCCACAATAGGACGAAACGGCCGTCCAGTGCTTCCAGGTTTTCAGTGGTGCTCTAACATCAATCGGTTCATGATCTCAATCAAAAACAAAATAAATTGTCATATTATAAAGTCATATAAAAATTCAAATTTTTCCTATACTGTTTTCTGATTGATAATACTATTTGTATTATCCATAATATACCATAAAAATATATTGTCAATGACCCCAACAAACTCAATATCTCTTATTATGTTGTCGATCATTAGTTCGTGTTTAGTATTTCATTAAAATTATAAACATTATACATTGTTGCTAGTTAACCATGTAAGTTTTCTTTGGGTAAGAAAAACGCTTATAAATATTCTAACCTACAAAAATCATTGATTTAAAATAATGAGTTACTATGACTTCTTTTTTGCATTTTCGTCGACACAATTTATTCTTCCGTTTTTACTTTATGCAATCATTTGTAAAATTAAAATAATTCACACTTATAATGCTGCTTATACAATGAATGAACGGAAGTATATTAATTTTCGACAATTCCATGGACGAAACGGCCGTCCAGTGCTTCCAGGTTTTCAATGCTGGTCTAGCTTCAACTGACTCATGATTTCAATCTGTAAAAACTCCATGTACATTAAACAACAACATCGATCAATATTGTTTCCTTTTTAGAGCGATAAAGTTTCATTATAATTTAGATTACTTATAAGTAAATTCATTAAGAAATATTCATTCCAGAACGAAACTAATTTACTAAATGTACCAGCAAAGTAAATAAGAATTCAAATATGAAATGACAAATGAGTAAAGTGTTTGATAATATAATGATCTAACATATAACTTTAATTACATTACTACTCAAAAAGTTAAATAAGTCAATATGACACGATTACTACTTGAATGTAAATGACTTGAAAATATAAGCTTAAAACTGTTTTCTTTAATTTTATGTTTACTGAAGAAAAATTAGTATATAAGTTTCATCAATGAAACTCCAGCAAAAGGTTTAGGAAATTCGTTTACTATATCATTAACAAAGGCATAAATAAACTATATATAATTTCACCTAGCATATAATCTCTTATTTTGTTAGAGACGATTATATACAATCAGTTATTTGGGTACGCTTATATGTTTTCTTCTGTCCTGATTAGGTTACTTATAAAAGTTCCTAAACTTATATTTCATCCGGCTACATTTGTAAAGGATATGGGTCTGTATATAGATATTGTCATCCAATTGATAGTTCTGCACTTTTATATCTAGTTAGTGTTAAAACTTGTTTGAAAATTACTTACTGAGTCAGGCCATATGTTACGAAAAGAAAGGAGACTTATGTTTACGAAGACATATTCAATTTTTTTAAAGAAAAGACAAATAACATGATTAATACACGGTCTCGTAACACAGCTAGTTTCACTAAAACGTAATGAGATTACTTGTTTAATAACCATCAAGAACACAATGACATTATATAATACTAAGGACTACCCTGTAAATATTTTAGCACGAACATGTTATGATACGTTTGCGATCAAAATACTGATGGCTTTTGCTTACTGAATTCTGTACCTTCGTTTATCTTTCTGGTATATGCTCTGGCTCTACAGAAATATACATGATCTAGATAAAATACTACAAAGTATTACATTGCCAATTATGTGTCTTTGGTTAGTGAGTAGAACTTCAATGGCAGCACGTCTATGAGAAACTCAAGTGACTTTATAAATTCAATCTAATGTTGGAGTGAAATGATATAAACATTGAACGACATAAAAAAATATGCACTGCTCACTCAGTAAAAGCAGTGCTTAATCATTTATGACTGAATATTATCAAGCTGGAGCCTAGATGAAGTTTGATAATTAACAATAAGTTGAAATTCGTTACTTTGAATCAGGTTTTGTTAACTATTCAGATTTTGTTGTAAAATGATCAGAGACAATCAAATTTTTGTAATCTTGACTGGAATAAAAAGAGAAGTTCATTTAATCTCGAAAGATATAAGTATTGAATAAATCGATGACAGTTGCACGGTAAACTAATGTGTAATTGAACAAACTACAGAAGATTCAGTCAGACAAACAACTCCGGTTATTCAACAAAACGACTCCGTTTTCATAAAACAAACATGCGGTTATATTAAATCAGTGTATAAATTCCCAATCAACCACGGTCAAGGCATTTTAGTAGAATAATTCAATTTAGTCTTAATGAAATCAAACGAGTAATTAGTATAATTTTAGAAGCAATGTAACAAATAACTACTATACATTATCATCATATAATTTGATGCATTGTGAATCAGACGGTAGTCATAAAGTAATCTTTGTAATTTAGAAGGGATTTAATTTTTATTCCGTTGACTTAATCTTTCACTTAATTCATTATCAAAGTCGTGTTATAATGCCATTCAATTTGGTAGTTCAATAACTGACACTTGATGATCTAAGAACGTACCTTGAAACTATTTCTCCATCCTTAATGTTGGAATATTCTACAATATAGTTAGGGACTAGTAAATTAATATCTGATAAAGAAGGTTATTTAAAGTCGCATCTGCGTATGTCTCCCTGGTAGCTGTTTAGTAATACTAATAATTATTTAATCAAATTGTCGTATATCGATTATACCTTAAGTTAAGTATTATCTATGAAATATTACAATCGTAAAAAGATTGAAAAATAAAATGTAAAATTTCCTCAAAATTTACATTCTCCATAAGTTAAGTTCTAGTAAATAAACATCTAATAGCAAACTTCCGACAGATACTCTGTAAAATGTACATAGATGATCTTATTCTAAGTAGATTACCTTTCTTTACTT